TGACTTGTCAGGTTTTTATTTTGTGTTTGGAAATCGGTAGATCCACCTGTAGGGCACGCGCACACACTAGCTGAAAGTGGGGAACTAAGTCGGAGTCGAAAAAAAAGAAACAATTGCGCACATTGCTGCCTAGCTGAGCTGAAAGCTCGCCCATCGATCAAGCATTTTTTTTTTATCAGCAAGCTTTTATGGAGATATATCCAGAAACAATTGTATGTTTTTATTGAGAGTTTAAAAAAAGGCGTGGTTGATTTAATTTCATTTCATTTAAATTAATATATCTACTGCTGTGTGATCTATGTTTTTAAATAGATTAGCGGATTTATGTAGATTTGAATCTGAATTTAGAATAAAATTTTTTTCTCTAAATTGCATCTTTACGACTACCATAGATCGCTTTGATTTAATATCAATGACTCAAATTCTTTGCTGGCTGGTGTAATACACAGCTGATAGCAAGAACAAAGAGCAAGCAGCAAAGAGAGTGCGAGAGCGTGGGAGCGCGAGTGCGCTCTCCGTCCCTCAACATTTCACGTAGTACACACAAAATGTAGCTCAGCTTTTTTTCAACATCTCTATTGAGAGTGCAAATTATTAAAAAAAACTATAATTATCGCGTATAAATCACTCCACTCTGTAACTTTAGCTAAGCTGCGTTTGATTTATGACACTTTTTGAGTTATTATTTTCACCTATTTGCCCTTTAAGGCAAACCAACAGCAAAAAATATAGAACAGTTCCAAAAGAGAGAGAGGTTTAGATGGAGAGAGAGAGAGAGAGTGAACCAACCTCGACGACGATTTCTTAGTAACTGAGCAAAGTCACGGAAGCTCTTTGGACGTCAACCTCTGATGTAATCAAAGGCAAAGTTCTGGAGGGGACACGACACATATACTCCTCTCTCACTCACTCTCTATGCTGTACCCATCTCTTTCCATCAGCCACATAGTGCGTGACGTAGACGTAACTTTCACTTTCAGCCTGCTGCTGCCCGCTGGACGTGTGGGCGTGCGCATGTGCCGGAGCTGCTTTGGGCCTGACATTGAACAAGGTCAAACAACAATGTTGCCTGGCAGCATGTTGCCAGAGCCCCTGTCGCGTGTTGCTGACGAAACTTGTAGAGAAATTTTTGAAAACGGAAAGTCGTGCGCCGCGTGCATGGAGAAAGAGAGAAACAAAGAGGGGTGGGGAAGGGGAAGGAAGGGAGCAGAAAATAAAATGATACATATAGCTAGCTATTTTGGCAAAAATTTTGATCCCAGGGATACGTTTTGACTTATTTGACATTGACATTGACTCAAGGACTGGAGAGGGAAATACCCAAATCTATAGATAAGACGACCAAAACGTGTCAAAAAAAATATTCTATCACACAATAAAAGCACCATATAACACTATATAACACACTTTCGATAGATAGCTAGCGAATCTATCTATAACCGATTCACTCTGAAATACACACCTACACGGGCCGGCAATTAATCGAGGAATGAAACGTTGCCCGAGAGTCGGAGAAATATATAAGAAAAGAAAAAAAAAGAGATGTAGAGGAGCCTAACGAACCGAAAAGAAACAGCAACAGCAAAGACACTAATCAAAATAAATGTACATATGCATGTATGTACGTTGCTATCAAGGAACTGGTATAAAAATAAAACAGACACATGTGTCGCCCTCTTCTATGCACGAGTATTGGGCGTATCTGTGTGTCGAAAAACAAGCTGATAAAACGAGCAACGAAAAAAAATGACTTGAGTTGTATGGTGTGGAACATTTCGGTCGTCTGATGTGGCCACATTTTGTATCTGCTATCAAAAAAAACAAGCCCCCCCCAATGGCCGATCCAAAGGTCTTTTCAACATTATCATAACGAGATTTTAGGTCCGGCCCCCCCAAGGCTGCAAAACACGGACAGTGGGTCAAAAGAACAGCCACGATCCACGCAGCGTTGATAAGAACCCACTTCTGATGCTGATGTAATGAAGCCAGCCAACTGACGTCAAGCGGAGGCACATTGTAGATGTGTGTGCGAGCGAACGAGAACCTGTAAATTGTCGTTTGACAACAGCTGAGAAAAATTCTCTCTCTATCGTTATCTGCTATGATGCTTTGACCTCTTTTATCTCTATTTGGGATGCATAAAGATTGCAGTAAAATCAGAATTTACACCAGGCGAAGTAGGGAAAGAGGCTCTGGGAAAAGATACAGCAATTGATCTCTATACGCACAGCTTCCGTAGGGAGATGGTCATGTGAGTAAAGGCGGTCCAAAGTCAATTCGTTCCACCCAATTGCCTTTGCAGTAAATTTGTATGGAGATGTTAATTGGAGGAAACGCAGTGAAAGGTTCGCAACATTTATCCAACATATCTTCTTCATTCATTCTAGTGCTTATCATTCTCTTATCTAATTTTGTTGTATGTACCTCGAGTTGACCTTCAAAATAAGGAAGTCTTTGTTGCTCGAAAAACTTGTTTCTATCGGACAAACACCCCTAATGATGTCTCTCTCTCTCTCTCTATGGATGTATCCCTCTCTTTCTTCCTCTCTCTCTCTCACTCTCGTAGATGAAGATCTTGCATCTCAGTTTGTTGCTCTTTGAACGATTACGCATGTTCTCATACAGCTGCAATTCTGCCACCTATTCACAAAGGTGAATAAAACTGATAAAAGGTAAAGAGCGCGAGAGAGAAGACAGGCGAAGAGTGTCAACAAACCGAAAAACTTGCGATGACGTTGGCTAATTGAAACCTAAACGAAAGTGCCAAAAGATAGATTATATATTGTAGATACAAATATTTAACATTTGCGGCAACTATTTATAAAGAAAAGAACCGCAGCCGCAACTACAAATTGCAGTTGAATCTTTGCCAATAACCAAATGAGCTCAAGCAACAAAATGCACAGACATAGAGAGAGGGAAAGAGAGTAAGACGTCGCTCTCCCGCCGTCCGTATGGCAGAAAAGAGAGCTGGTTGAGCCGGTAGTGAAACTGCCTTCGAGTGGACCGATGTTACCCGATAGCAGGCATCGAAAGATGGTGTCGTTCCAGCAGGGGGATTACTGTAGCAGAGAAAGCTACAATTCAGAGTTCTAGAAAATGTCGTAAATATATTTTATGTATGTTGAAACAAATCCCATCGCACACACACACACACACCACACACACAGAAACATTTTGGGAATATTTTGTAACGATTACGAAACAATCGTCTAACGGAATGGAAAATTTCCCATTGAAGATTACGAGACTGCAGCCCGAATGCCCGAATCGAATATGCACCTCGATGGCTCACTTTATTTTTCACTTATTTTTCCCCAATAAATGGGTATAGTATATAGATTTTTTTTTTATCACTTATAGCACTGGGGCCCGAACTCACCGAACTGGAGACTGAATCTGGGGAAATTTCGTCTGGCTGGGTGTGCTGCTGCTGCTGCACTGGAGGAGAGAGCTCAACGCTTTTATTTTCGGTCCGTAATCGCTGCTGCTGCTGCTGCTGCTGCCTCTGCGCTGCTGTGCTGCGCGGCTGACGACGACGTCGGCGTTAACGTGAAATTCCAAAGTGAAATAAGCAAGCGGCAGCCGTCGCCGCCGCCGACGGGCGAACGGAGCGCGTCAAAAGGTTGTTTAGAGGTCGTCCGTGGTCGGTGTTGAGAAATTCCCAGCAACAGTTGTGTTGCAAAGCGTTGAAAACACCAAAAAGCGAGCTTTTAGCCAATGGAGGAACAGCGTGGGTGGGCTGTATGTAGTCTTTGGTGGTAAGCTTTGCACTGCTTGGGTGCTTTTGAGTGTTTGGCGGGTAATTTATGAAATTTTAAATTTTGTAATTCGCGACAAAAGTTTTTTTTCTTTATTTAGCTTCTCCCATTTTGTAATTTTCCACTGAAAACTCTTTCCTCTGTTAGCTGCCCGTAATCTTATATTTATATAATTAATAAATGCATGGAATTTGCTCCCCTATTTCGAGCGACCTGCTTTAATTCGCAGGGTGCATGATTATTTTTTTGTGCTCCTCAGCCGCAGTAACACCAAACAAAAAGGGCTGCAGAAGCTGAGGGGCATGCGACTGACTTCACGCCATGCCTGACCTCCTCCAATGTTAACGGACTCAACTCAAACACACAGAAACACACATGCATCGGGGCAAACAGCTGATTGAGAGCGCTAAAATTTCCCAGTATTTGTGTACCCTTTGGGCGAGTATATTGCATTTTTTAGGATGTTTTGTAATGCAGAGAAGGAAGCTTCGATTGGCACCATAAATAATATATGTATATTCTTGAGTCAGAATGAATAGGTGAGTGGATATATCTCAATCTAGTATCTAGCAACTAGCACCTAAAAATATATGTATGTATTACTCTATGGAGAAGCGATCCTATATGATATAGCTATACAGCTATCAAGATAAACAGCAAAACCAAATAAGATGGGAGAAAAAGAGCTTAGGGATCTAAAAAATAACTGCTGTCTAGAGATACGCTGAAAGGTTGTCTAAATTAAAAGGTATTCAAACTTTGGCGTGATAATGTTGCCTTGCTTACTGTTTTAGTTTGAGTGAAAGAGTAAAAGAACCCACTCTAAGGACACACTCTCTCCGAGTGGCTATGCTCTTGGCACAGTTGCGCTGCTTTGTTGGCCACGAAGAGGTTAATGTACTCCTAGGGTTTAGGCTAAGCCACACTACGAGTACTTATAAATTAAATAAGATACTTTGATTCCGTAAATAATCTATAGATAGTTTCGCCAAAAAACGTAAATAAAACGTAAATAAAATATGGCAATATAATTGCCATAGGGGTTTGGTTTTTGGTCGCATTCTTATCTAACGCAGCAGCCACAGCCACAGCCACATTGCTCTTTGTTGTCCTTGCTTTGCTCTCTCGTTAGGCGTCACTCGGCTCTTGTCTTCGTGCGGAACGCCTTCGTGAGAGTTCTGCTCTTGTTGGGGCTTGCCCCAGTGGCATCCATGGCTGCTTTCAGTTGGAATTCCTGCGTCGGCCGGTCGAGTAGTGTGCCCATCGCTCGGTATTTGTCCTGCCACACGTGTTGCGTTCCCACTTGCGCCTGTCTACTGTCTGCCGTCAGACGCCTGCCGTTTGCGTTCCGTTTTGCGCGTCTCTCTGTTAGATTACGTTACGTATGCCTCATTGAGGCGCAAAAGTAAAGCGGAATAATAATAATAGTAATTATGTGAATGGAAAGTGGAGTGCACAAAACAAATCGAACCACAGAATATATCAGCATTTCAGTGAGAAAATACAGCCACAAATTAAAGAACGTGAAAAGCAAATAGCAAAAAACACAACAAAAATAAAAAAGAATGTTAAATAGTTTAAGCATTTTTGGTAAGAATTAATGGCATATAGTATATGTAGTATGTTTCTATATATATATGTATCTACAGTATGTACTTCATATGCAGATTTCTGGTTATATTGAGAAATTGATGGTTGCGGCGCTTTCGACATGCCCCCTCCCTCATTAATATGCGACAGGCGACGCAGCTTGCCACCCCCTCCCTACCCAATAGCTGCCGTTTGCCCTTTCCACCCTATACCCATACACATTGTCTCCTCATCTGCATTCTGGCCCCAAAATGGGAATGAGAATGAGTATGAGTATCCTACCACCGACTGAGCAGCTTCCTGACTGCTGATGATAATGCTGATTCTTGCCTTCCGCAACAATTTGCTTTGAGCTCGCAGGAACCGCCACCCCCCAAAAAACGCCACACAAAAAACTCAAACCGAAACCCATAACCGAACAGTCTCTTAGTCCCATTTCTGTAGCTTTTGTTGGGCTATTTGTAAATGCTTGTTACCTTACCTTTTTCCTTGCTATATTTGTAGCCATTGGTCGTTTTGGTTACCCATTGGTTTGTTTTATGCCCTTAGGAATAAATGTTGGTAGAAACGAGGAACTCCGACGACGCTGCTCAGATTTTCCTCAATTATCATTATCATAGTATTACAATTTGCTGTAGAATTTGCTTTAGCAGTTGTTGCTTTAGGAAAAATCAAAAAGATAATCGGATATTTTTTATCGCCATTAAAAAGAAAAAATGTCTCCATTTATGTATTATTACTATTTATTCTTAGCCGCACTTGAAAGATAGTATACAATATAATATAATAATATTATATATATTAATTTATTATATTAATATCTATATTAACTGTCATTAGTGGATATAATTTCAGCCACTTGGCATTTTTGATGATATTCGACTGTTTGCCAAAATATAAATTTTAGCAGTGGGTATCCCATAGTCGTTTATTATTTGTTGTTGTTTTTAGTTGTTTTTTTTTGTCATTCGAAACAAAGTGTTTATGAGTGCTGTCGGTGAATGGTCGGTTGGTCAATGGCTTAGACTATGGAATTTTGTTTAATTTGAATTTGTGTGGCATGCAGCTGTAGTAGCAGCAGGAATGGGAAAGGATTCTCTCTGGCAATCTCTGAAAATGGCACAAATTGTGGTTTGCAAGTGTTTGGAAGCTGGGATTGTGTGCGTCTCCTCTGCTCTGCAGTTGTTGAGTGCTTGAGTTAAGTTGAACGAAACGAAATGAAATGAAGAAACACAGAATGGAATTGCCAACCCAACCGCTTTGGCATTCTCAAAACTCTGTTATAAACCACTTAGGAATTTTTTAATGCGGCTTTGAATAATAGCTGGAAAATAAATACTTTGTTTTGTTGAGTGAAAAATTAGTATTTGAAAGCACAACTATTTAAATTCATGGAAAATTATCTACTCCATACTAGGTGTAATTAAATCGCCTTGGAAAAAGAACATTTACATTAGCATTCGATTGTATTTTATTGGAGAGACAGTTTCGATTAGAATTAAATTTTCTTTTATTTGTATTTAGCTGATAAACATATGAAACAGAACGCAGCACAGATGGGAATTGTATGAGCTCCGATTTTCCTTGAATGATTTGCATTTAAGCAATCCTTACAATAGGGACTTTCTTTTTTACTTTACGGTCTCTAATGGACGTACTTTTTTTGAACATCTGTTGGACATTTCTGTTTTTAGATTACTTGTGGCATGCCGCAACATAATTCCATACATATTCTAGGTCAACATTTTTCTGCTTAAGCTACACTCTACTTTTCAATCACCCTCCCTCCCTGCCACCTGGCACCAACATCCTTTTCCCGCAATTGGCCTGAACTCGAGCATAAATTATGCATACAGAAAGAGTGGGGAGAAAAAAAAACAACCAAAAAGGAATTGGAGTAGGCAAAAGCGAAGGCGAAGGGCAAGGCAAATCAAACAAACGGCAAGAAACATGAAAATGCTGTAAAATAATTTCAATTCATTCTGGCGCTATTTCGCATGCCTCAGGGTCCTTAGCCGTAAACCGTTAACCGTTGGCCGTGTGTCCTTGTATTGGTGGGTGGTGCTGCTGCTACTCCACTCTCCAGAGCCACTCAAAAGCATTCTGTTGAATTTTTGTGTCCCTTTCTATCGTTGGGCTTCCATTCAATTAATTTATGCCATGCTTTCGTATGAGGAAACTTTCACATTTGCGATGATTTTGATGGCAAAACATTTTTGGAGGTTGTGCCCCGGCAGGGTGCTCTGTGTGGGCATTGGGGAAACCTTTCAAATGGCCACTCGGCAAAATGATGGAAATATAATATTATTTACTCCATTGAGATGTCCATTTTGATGAATTTTAATGTTGCAAAATATTATTTAAAAATTCATAGAGTTGTATACTAGAAAGTTTTCTCGTGCTAAAATTTCAAAAGAGATCTTTAAAGAAAGCCAATAAATATCTATCATCTAAATATATAGTTGATATATCTTCATTAAATCATTAAGAGTTCGCTCTCTCTCTCTTTCATTTAATATTTCTGAAAGAGTTAACACGAAAGTACTTTAATTTTTGTATTTATGTAAATGGTTCTCTATTTGAATTTCTATTTTATTTTATTTGATTTTTCTTCAAACCTTAAACTTTTGCATAAGCTCAGCAGTATTCCGTGAAGCTTTATGAAAATTCCTGGAATTCCTCTGACTGGCAGCACATTCTCACTGCTGCTTTTGTCTGGTCAGGTGATCGGACTTTTATTAATACCTTGTATACTTTTTTCTCCTTGTTAAATTGAATGAGCATGAGCCAAAAATTGCTGAAAGCCCTTGGGCGAAACCTTATCACACCAGCCAGTGGGGGCATGGCATATTCCTGGCCAGCAGGAAGGCAGTTGCTTGGCGGAGTGGAGTGTCGTAGAAGGAGCAGGTTGGTCTGGCTTCCATTGACTCTGTTTGCTACAATTCGCAGTGAATGGAATTTAGAGCTGAATGAATGGCAATGCCGTTGCATGAATGGCACAGGATGAGGACAGGGCTTGGGCGTTGCGGGGTTTGATTATAAATAACGTAAAGTAAGCGCACATGAATGCATTTTGATTGTCTGCTGTAGTTTACGGCACGTTTCCTTTATTTTTTGCCGCTGCTGTTGTTGTTGTTGCTACTGCTGCTACTGCTGTTGGTGGAGTTGTGTGGCAAAATGGAAATGAAAGACGACAAACTCGCAGCGAAATATCTGAAGACGCAGGGGGCGGGGGGCAGCTGTGTGTCGGTGTGCAACTTCCTTAAATGGTGCACTAATGTAGAAAAGAAAAGCATTTTTTATATTTATTCGCTTGCCACTTTGCATGGAAATTCCAACTGCAACGAGGACATCGCATTTCCTTGCTGCAATTTTCCAACGCGCGCACTCCGGTTTCCTCAACGCCGCCCCCTAGCTCCCATCCCAGCCCCCTTTCATCGCATTTGCCAGTGCCATTTCCCTTCTTCTCCTCCATTCTTATTCTCATACTCTTTCTCTCTCTCTCTCTTGCTTTTTCGTTTCCTCCTGCTTCCCCTTTTTATTTTACTTATTTTTGAGGCCATGCAAAATAATGTTTCATGTTGCAATAAATGTACGATTCAGTCCATGTCCCTACGACCAACCCTACCCCATCCCTGCCACGGCCCTATCCGTTCTGGTACATCCCTACGCCCATGCATGCCACTCAAACAAAAAAAAAGAGCCATATATAACATAAAGACAACCCCAACCCACCACACACACATTGCACATACGCAGCGTTGTACGCAGTTATCCTTGCGCCCATTTCTGGCTCGTTCTGACTTTACCCCGGATCATGTGTGTGTGTGTGTGTGTATGTTTGGGGTTGGCAACTGCATGGCATACAATTTATTAAGAATTTTTGATATTTAATCCGCTTCAATAATGCTTAAATCATCCATTTGATCTTTGTGGTCTGGTTGCTACGAGATTGTTCCTGGCATTACAATTTATTTTCTTGATTCCATCTCTTCATAGATGTATGCTCTGTTTTGTGTGCTATCTTTATCTTCTTTGATGAGGTATGATCTGTGACAAAATATCAATGACATTCCCTAAGTAATTCAGTCGACTTTTCCGCGTGGGCTGCTTAAAGCAAGAGCTCTTCAATTTAATTAAATATCGGCTATGTTGTGGCTCCTAATTTTGGTTTGCTTGCTGCTCGTTGTCAGGCATAAATATTTAATGAAGCGCCAAACGTTTTCGATTTCACAGAATCAACTTTGTTTGCTGTCCTGGCTCCTACCGGGCTGTCGCTTTTTCCCGCTTCCTGTTAACCCAACAGGGTCTAATTTGCCTTCCTTTCGTGGCCTGCTGGTTGCTCCTGCCATTGTCTCACTGTATTAATAATTCGTGCGTTGCGTTTGTGTCACGTTTTGCATGGCCCAAAAATATTCGTGGCGCGTTGCCCTTGTCAATGTTGTCATTTCCTGCTCATCGTTGTCCCCTGTTGGTTTTTGCATAATTTCTCTTCGACCAGATAGCTCAAGGATTGTGTGCAAAACAGCATACACATACACACACAGACCAGAAAATCCAGGAAAGTATCGAGAGAGAGATGAAAAATGGTGAAGCAGAAAATTCCATCAAATGGCAACCTAAAGCAGCAGCATGAAGAGACATTTTTGAACCGAACCTCAATCAGGAGCAAAGTACGAGGATGCAGAAGCAGGGACAAATACAGATACAGATACAAATGTAAAAGAAATGTAGACCAAACAGAGCGGATAAGATATCGCAGAGCGGAATGTTTTCATTTTGTTCGCAAGCATCGAAGCATGAAAATCAGCATACGGATTCTACTTACCCATCGGGCTTGGCCCTTCCTTCGGTGCTCCTGCTCCTGCTACTGGTGCTCCTGGTGTTTTGTTGCGACCTGCAGAGTGCACACACCCAACAACAGTTGGCATATGAAAACGAGCCAAAAAAGAATACGATAAAATACCCTCAAGATGTGTACAAACAAGTGTTAACATAGTCACAAAAAATATATATAAAATAAAACCTCTGGCTTTGGTTTTTTTTTGCAATGAGAAATCTTATATTTAAAGAGTCAAGCTTCTGGAAAATATTTAATTTTTTGCTGATATTTCTGTTTTATGTTAGTGCAATTTTATAAACAAAAAATTATTAAAGATGCAATTTAAAATGCTTTTCTTTGCATATGTTTCAGGCACCAAAACTAATTTTAATTTATGGAAATATGTAGTTTGCTCTACGCTCGCGTATCAAAAAGCTTTTGTATATCCAAGCCAAAGCAATTTGTGATAATTATTAAAATATACACGAAATTTTGATGGATTTTAACATCGATTAATATTCAATGGCATAAGCTCAAAAAAGCTGTGATCCCATAATCACAGATTATATTTTTCTGATTTTAAAACTAATAATTTTGGAATATATTCGAAAATACCCCAAACATTGCTCTGTATTTCTTTGCACCAAATAGGCTTTGTTTTCTAGCTCAAAAGTGCAGCAAACAAATTGCATTACCTGTGTGGGGATGGGGAGGGGCAGGTCATGGGCCCAAAGTTGGCTAACATTTCCATTTGCTCAGTTTACCATTTCATTTTTGGCCATTACCTTTCTCGACTTCGAGCCTGACTTATGTGTTGAAAACTATTAAAGTAGTTTAGTTTAGTTTTCCTGTTTTGGGCACAAAACTTTAATTTCACTTTCTGGGACAAGGAATATATAAATATTTGCCTCCTCCCCTACTCAATAAACTCTGTCTAGGTCTCGGGACCAGCCCCCACTTACCCCACTTACCCCACATACAAATCGGGCGCTTCAATTTCTTCGGGAAATACTTAGACCTTTTCTCTGCCCCTCTCGCTCTCTCTGTACCACCTGCCGGGCTCAGCAAAAACTTTATGTCGCATAGGAAAAAAAAACAAACAAACAAAAACGAAATTTCCATGGATAAAGTATTTGCTTGGATCTTTTTTTTTTTTGTTGGACTGCCCCAAAACAGTGCGGGGAAAACTATTTAAATTTCCTATGATTTCTCTTCTTTTTTTCGGGGTTCGGTGATATGCTGGCTAAAAGAACAAACAACAAAAAAAGAAAGAAAAAAGAACAGAACGAAGTGGAAACTTTGCTATAAATAATTTTGAATTTTTATTGTGCATTTTATGCATTTTGTGCGCGATTTCGATTTGAAGTTGCGCTCTGAAATAAATATGAAAAGTTTTATTTATGTTTGTGTGGGGGTGTGGATTGGCGGTGAGGCTTGGGTTAGACTTTTTGGGGGCTGGTATGGAGATGGAGTGGGTTGGGGGGGGTTTATTTAGCGGCACAGCCGTAGGCGCTATATTTATGACATTTTGTTTGCCAACAACTTTCAATGGCTCAATCACGCCACACTCGCACATGCAATGGACTAAGTCTTATCCTCTCCATTGAACTCCATCTAATTCGCTCTCTCGGTTTCTCTCTCTCTCTCTGTCTCTCTGTCTCTCTTTTGGCTTTTGTTTGGTTTTATTTTTAGCTAGAACGTGGTGGAACATCATCAATGTGAGTGCTGCGGCTACTGGGCTCTTCTGCTAGAGCGCCGCGCTCGCTCGGGGGCAATGAAATCACGGAAGCTGCCAAAGGGCTTCGTGCTTTGTGGCCTGAACTGTCTGACCTTCGTTTACTTCCCGCTCGTTCTGCCCATACTGAAATGTTCGGCCGGTGCCGCGGCCGGCGCGGGCGCCAGCGGCAACGCCAAGGCCAGCGACGATTTCGACTATCGCATGCAACGCGTCCGGAACGTCCTGAAGGAGGTGCCCCTCATCGATGGCCACAACGATCTGCCCTGGAACATACGCAAGTTCCTCAAGAATCAGCTGAAGGATTTCCACTTTGGTGGCGATCTCCGGGAGCTGGCACCCTGGTCCTCGAGTGCCTGGAGCCACACAGATCTGCGCCGTCTCAAGGAGGGCATGGTCTCTGCCCAATTCTGGTCGGCCTACGCCCCCTGTTCGTCGCAGCATCTGGATGCCGTGCAGCTGACACTGGAGCAAATCGATCTAATACGCCGCCTTGTGCAGCTCTATCCCCATCACTTGGCGCTCGTGACGACGGCCACGGGCATCGAGCAGACACATCGCACGGGCAAGATCGCCAGCCTGATAGGCGTGGAGGGTGGCCATGCCATTGGCACCAGCCTGAGTGTCCTGCGAATGTTCTATCAGCTGGGAGCGCGTTACTTGACTCTCACACACACCTGCAATACACCTTGGTGAGTCGCCATGGCAGTTAAAGTGATACACAATTATACTAACCTTATTTTAATATCAGGGCGGACTGCTGCAAAGTTGACGAGCCCGGAAAGTATCCACACATAGGCGGACTTTCGCAGTTCGGCAAGGTGAGAGTTCATCTAACTAAACCGCTAGATAAATGCTCTAAGCTCTGTTTTCTCTTTCGCCTATAGTTGGTGGTCAAGGAGATGAATCGTTTGGGCATGATTGTTGATCTGTCGCATGTGTCGGTGCCAACAATGCTGGATGCTTTGGCCGCCTCCAGGGCGCCGCTCATCTTCTCGCACTCCTCGGCGCATGCCATCTGCAACAGTTCCCGCAATGTGCCCGATCATGTCCTGCAACGCATTGTAAGTCCATTAAGAAGGCATTTATCTTGCAGAGCATTAATCCTGTCCTACCCCCACCCCCCTCTAACCACACTGGCAGGCAATAAATGGCGGTCTGGTTATGGTCGCCTTTTATCCACATTTCGTCAGCTGCTCGGGACAGGCAACACTGCACGATGTTGTTGGTAGGTTGGGCATTTGGGCTTTTGGGTTCTGGTTTCTGTTTCAGTTTCTGTTGCTGCTTTGAAAGAGCGGAACATTAATCTTTAAACTTTCGTCTCTCGTTCTGACCCCGCCTCTGGCTTTCAGCGCATATCAACCACATAAGGGAGGTGGCTGGCATCGATCATGTTGGCATTGGTGCTGGCTACGACGGAGTCAACTTGTGAGTACTTTCAGCTTCAATACTTCAATTACATTTCATTCCATTTGGCCAAATTATGGTACGACTATCCATTCACCTAACCCTCTTTGTGCCCTTTTTTTCGTAGAGTGCCCAAAGGACTGGAGGATGTGTCCAAATATCCGCATCTTTTTGCTGCCCTACTCGAGTCTGATAAATGGTCAGAGGAGGATATTGCCAAGTTGGCTGGCAAGAATCTAATACGTGTATTCAAGGAAGTCGAAGCGGTGAGTCCAGCAAAACAAAATGGTGGTATGGGGGGTATGGGTTGGGGCGGCGAAAATTGTTCACTTTTCTGTGGTATTTTTCAATTGTTCCTCGTATTTGGTCTCTGCAGAATGTGCTGATACTCTGCCCGCAGTCCAGCAAAATTCCAGCAAATGCTCAGCCTAAAGCGAGAGAATTTTCGAATCATATGAATTATATATAGTAGCTTGATTCTTGATTGGTAGATTAAATCATAAAATATAGCAGAATAGCGTAGCGTTTTTTGAGCTTAAAATTCGAGGGTATTCTTTGTGGCTTCTGTGGAGGAGACTCTGCTCTTCTTTTGCTGTTTATCCTTTAGTGCTGTTTAGTGTCAGACGCGTACCTGACCGACTTAGAGGCGAAGCCAGTGCCAGTGCCAGTGGCAGTTCTGCTGCAAAACTAACACACATTTCTCAGCAGCAAACAAACAAAGGAGCGAGCTGGAAAAGGACATTGCTATAGCCAACCGTCGGTTGTTATTACAGTTGGAAAATTCCTTTCACAAGGATAAAAGGAATAATGTGGCTTTGCCATGGAATTTGCACATACTTGGAATGGATGCAGCAGCAGCAGCAGCAAAACCAGAACCAGCAGTTGAAAGGCGAAGCTGGAGCTGCAGCTGGACTAGGAGCACTGGCAGGACAGCACAGCATAGCACAGGACATTGGCTTGGCTTGGCGTCGAAAAGACGCAAGTTGTGAAATAATTTTAAAAGGATTTTCAAATGCTTATTCCGATATTTATACACGAGCATGACCAGCAGAAGACCAACGACGAAGCAACAGCCTCGCCCAGTAGCCAAGCAGCAGCAGCAACAGAATCTGCAGTTTGTTTGCAGGATGCGGTCAGCTTGTTTGCCGTCTGCTCTAAGGATACTGGAGGATACTAGTACCATTTACTCACACACACACGCACACACAGCGCAGAGTAAAGAGCACAGGGAATGGTATTGGGTTTTGGCTTGGGGGATTGGTTTTGCCATTCTGTTTCTTTCTCGCCGAACTGTCTATGTCTATGCACTCCAGGCTCAAGCAGCATTCAATTTAGATCAATGCGGGGACGTGGCAAAGCCCCTCTTTTGAGGAAGTTACTCCGCTCGCATTGAATGCCACTCGTGTGGAGGTTAGTACCATTCAAAGGCTGGCAAGTGGGTTTGTTTTTCAGTCGAATGCTTGGATGGATGTTTCGATGCTTCGATGCTTCGATGCATCGATGGGTGGATGGATGCTTGGTTAAACGATGGCAGACAGTTGCCATGGAGAGGCCGTCACTTCAGCTGTCTCATATGATTATTGCTACTCTCTCTCTCCCCATGGGCTAATTGGATTATAAATTAAAGAAAAATGTGCAAAAGATTGTCTCATCCTGCTTGGGTTGGGTTAAATTCTGCGCTCTCTCTCTCTCTCTCTCTCGGCCACTCGTAAGCATCTTGATTGTGCTCTATAAAATCTCTGCTCTCTAAATCAAAATAGTTAAATTATTCTCATTGCGAATCTCGGACGCTGTGGCAAGTTTTCTCCTTTGGTGCTAAAACCAATTTAAAGATTTAATAACAAATATAAATCATACGCCCCCACCACCCCTACCACACCACCCTTGAATGCTGGTCGTCGTGGTTGTCGCTTTTATTGCTTTTGCTGATTATAAAAACCTCCTCCAAGGGGTCGGGTTTGGTGTCCAGATCTCCAGCCTTTGGCACAAGTTGAGAAAGAGATGCCGCAGCATTTTTTAATTTAGCTCTTGTCTCGACTCTGACTGCGAGAGACTGCGGACTGCGGACTGCCCAACCAGGGGCAAACTTTAATCATATTCTCAGGCATGCCGCCCCCACCGCCTGCGCAGCCTCCTGCAATGTAATTAGTTTTAGTTGGAGGGGCGTATACTATAGTCGAATAAAAAGCAGGGAATACTTAGTGTCCGTCTGTGATTACAATGTGCACTTACCCCCATAATGGTACTGTGGAGGACAAAAAGAGGGCCACAAAAGTATTGCCTTATTTGCAGCGGCCTGATTAAAATTGTCCGAGTTTTTATGGCGTTTTGCACTCAGCAGACAAACCAACCATATCCATACCCATACATATTCGTATATGTATATTTTTACTGCTGTTTATTACATGGCCATAATACTCATTAAGAATTGTATTTTAATACGTTTCTGTTTGTTTCCGTATATATTTTTTGTATCTCAGTATTTTCGTTTTTTATTTTATTTTGTGTGTGTGTGCTGTGTGGTAAAAAGTAATTAAAAACGTTACCCAACGCCTTTTATCTTTGGCCAAAAGCCCAGAGCCCCGAGGATTAAGCAAGAGTGAGCCGAGCCATATAAATATATATCCGAATGACATTTGCTTTTGCTTTGCATCTGACCAAGGCATCTGCATCATCATCATCATCATCATCATCATCATCATTCCAGAGCTGTGGCCAAACGCGGATTGAAGTTCATTGAACTGGAGCTGGCATAAATTTTATTGTGGGGGCCTACTTAGGGGCGTTGCCAGAGTCGTCGCCTGGGCTGCTCGTAATGCAATTAAATAATAACGAAAAGCGGGTCAAATGTTCAATTATTAGAAGCTTAATGCTGTTTTTCGGGGTCTCTGTGTACACAGGGGACTTGGACCAAGGGACTTCGACTCGGTCATGGCTGTGATAATTAAGCAAGTCATAGAAATTAGGCAAAAGGCCATTTTAATGATTGCCATCGCGCACACAATCACAGCACGCACACACACACACTAACATACCCTAATACCCTTTCAAGCTGGACACGCACTCAGTCATAGGCTGAAGCGGGGCATTCCGCAAAACATTTTCCCCGTCCATTCCACCATATGAACTCAGAGTTTCGCCCTTAGTTTTCGAGCGCCATTCAATAGCCATAAGGAAATCCATTTTTTATGACATATTTCCATCTTTTAGCGGGGTGAATTTTATGACTCAATAAATTATGAAATATATTTAAACACTAACGGAAATTGTAGGCAGAAAGAAGTTTACCCCCCAGACTTAGATGCGATTTGGTAACCCGAAACGGGTTTCGAGAACACATACCCAAGGACCTTAAAGACAAACAGCAATTGCCACAAATTTGTGGGTGGTGGCGGGGGTTGACTGGGCGCTGGGCGCTGAGGCCCATGGCCCATGAACATGATAATTTTCTTGACGCCAGTTTTTATCTACACAAAAGCAGCAGCAGAGGCAGCGGCAGAAAAGCCAAGGATTTTACCCCCCCAAACCCACACAACACCAGCAGCAGAAGCATCAGCAGCAGCAGCCCTTCCAGCTGCTTGTGTCTGTGTAAATGTATCTTTTATTTTAGCCTTTTATATCTAATGCGAGAGCGGAGAACGGCATTTGGCACGACACATCGCCCAAGTGGCGGCAGAGGAGGCTCTGCTGCTATGGCTTCTCCATCGGCTTTGGCTTTGGCTTTGGCCTGGCCTGGCTCGGGTGATGGGTGATGGGCCATGGGCAAATGTCCCCGGCAAATGGCAGCAATTTGTGCGAGACAAATTCATTTAAATATCTTTTGCCAGCCTTGTGTGTGGATCTCTTTCTCTGAGGCACAGACACCCCATCACACCACACCACACCCCCCTTTGTGTATGAGTGTTAGAGTTTCTGAGCCTGACCTTCTTACAATTGATTTGGCTTTGGGTCGGTCTGCCGGGAAATGCGTTATAGGAGGGAGAGATCGAGATCGAGATCGAGACCGAGACCGGGCTGGGCCGGGCTGGGCCGGGCACTCTTCAACATTCATTTTACGCTTTGAACTTTTCACTCAAACTGTAACTGTACGAACTGTGCTTCTCATTTGTATTGAAATGCTTGTTGTGTGAGGGGCATAGAAGGCGGCTCAAAGGCCGGAAGAGTCTAGCCAAAAGGCAAAAAGCACAAAGTTCCCGCTGCTGTGAGTGGGAGAGGGGGGCGGCTAGGCCTGCACACAAAGTGCAATGACTGAGCCAAAGCTGACGTTTTATTGTTGTTTGTGTGGCAGGGCGCACATAAAGCCTCATAAAAAAGTCGTAAATTCGATTGTTGTATGGCAAACAAAGCACAGGAAGTGGGACGAGCCCGAAACCCAGACCCATAGCCACTGCTACTGCCACTGCCTCTGCCCCATCGTCACCATCATCACCTCCCACTGGTGGGCGGCCTCAAAAGGTGTTTGGTGTTGAAAACAAAACATTTTCTCTCATTTTATTTCGTTTTTCCCCACCTTTTTTCGGTTTGTGGCATTAAATGTGCTCCAAACTTTTCCAGGGCCGCTGCCGGTCTGGTCCTTAGATCAAGGTTTTCCTTTAAGGCTTTATGTATGTGTGAGAGTTGCTCGGAATTGTACAGGAATGTTGCTTTTTTCTTGGAATATTTAACTCTATATATTATTAGCATTTAAGGCATTTCGACAGTTTGATAGCCGAAAAAAGGGGCTATGAAAAATTATAAAATTAGGCAATAGGAATCATAAAAGTCAGAGGAAAATGAACTCGCTATGAGGCAGGCTTTGGGCAAGTTGAAACCTGTTTGGCTATGCAAAAAAGAGTAAAAAAATTATATTCAAAGTGATTCGTAGAGGCAAAACAAAAAACTCGATAGTTTCCATAAATTTCTCTAGCATAATTGGCCAAATTGTTGTCAAACTAAGGCATCCTACACAACTGTATACCGTGCAGCCACAATTCCACACCTATTAGACTTTTCCCAACTCCCAATTCAAAGGAAATTTCATGCATTGGTCCGTGTAATTTTGCCTTTTTTAGCTGGGAAGTTCGATGAACGTTATAACAAAAGTATACATTAAACGATTCTTGCATAAACCCTTTCGAGAAGGGTCCAATCGATTTTGTAATTTCGATAATGTGCCCCCCTCAGGCAGAGTTACGTCAACGTATACTTAAATCTAAGAAATTCATTAGGAAACGCCTCGCTCCAAATTTATGGACAATAATACCGTATGCCATATTCGGTATACACCCAAGCACTTTCAAGGAATCATTTTAGCATTTGAAAATGCAAACAAAACTTTGGCAATTACGCTAAATAACTTTTGTAAGTTGTGCCAGCAATGGCAGCTCCAGCTCGGTGCCGTTCCTTTGGCTCCTTCGCGTATGCAATCAATTTTCATCAATCAAATGCAGCTGTTGGCTGACACACACATACACACTTACACACACACACACACACACACATACTAATTGCTGATTGAATTTTAACCAAAGAAAACAACCGTATTTTCTTGTGTCGTTTTAGGTGCGTGATCAAATGGAACTCCTGCGGGTGCCACCCATTGATCAGTCAATTCCAGCCGAAGACATTATGGGCCGATCCTATTGTCGTTACCAAGGACCAAGAACGTGATAATTTCTTCATATGTAAAAGTTCACCCATTCACACATATACATATACATATACATAGACGTACACATATACATATACAAATAGAGCGCATCCTGAGGCGCGAGAGAGAATGGCAAAAAATTATGTCAAGCGTACGTGTTGTAAAGTGAAACTTGTTTTAGGTTAATTGACAAAGTTTTCCTCTCTTTTTTTTTTGCGCTGTTCTTGTTGTATTTGTTGAGTATTGTTTGCGTGCGTCTATGTGTGTGTAGACAACGGTACACACACAAACGCAAGCCATACACATACTTAGACATTTTTCAATCGCTCAGACCTGGGGCAGTTGGCCAGCTGGTGCTGCCAGACAACTTTGTGCGCAGCTGGCATCGCCCATAAACAAATACCAAGTGGCAAGCAGAGACTGCCACATACACCCCCAAGCCCCTACCGCCATCCCTCACCCCAGATTCGCCAACATTGTGTAAATATCATAGCCATGTTTATTTTTATCTCTAGCTCTAAGTCAGGCAGCGTCAGGGGATAAAAAAATATAGTGGAAGAAAAAATAAGGAAGCAGAAAAAATCTGGAAAAAAAGCGCACATAAAAGCTAGGAAAAAGTAAACCCTATAATAGTTAAAGTAAAGCACAGTTAGCCGCAAATTAATAAATCTGAAAACAAAGTGAAAACGGGATGGAAACAAAAACGCATAAAACCCAAAGCTGATCCCCAAAAAGTCAAGAGGAAAATCTAATTTATCAGCAAGTATTTTTTCTATGAAAAAGTTATTAAAGTTTAACAAAAACCAAAAAAAAAGAAATGGAAAATATCTAATAGTTAATACATAAAAAATACCTGTTACAGTTTTATATACGATTATCGCTGGGCCCATGAATGGCCATTGGGGTGGGGAGATTGACACGATTCCGTTGTGGGATTGGGGCTCATTAATCTCAGCCACTGAGCCGCTTTCATTAGCCCGGTGAATGCATTCAAAGGGTTTAATTACAACACGTTATTCGTTTAAAGCGTTTTTAATTTTGTTATTAACCTAAATGAAATTCTCATTTAATTAGTTAATTAACATTAAACATTTAATTAGCCAAGAGTTTTTATTTATATGAAACAAAATACAGCAATTATAAATGGGAAAGGCCAAAAAAAAAAAAACAAAAACAAAAAGAAACAAACAAACAAAATGAAAGTTATTCAATGCACGCATTGAATGTAACCACACTTTTTGCATCATTTGGCAATTTGTAAGGCTTATATGCCAATCTTTTAATCAATATTCAAACAAAACGTTGCGCTGCACTGCGCTGCGCTGCAAAGGAAAAAACGATGGAAAAACTGATGGTAAAAACATATTGTATAATTAATAGATCCATTCAAAATTCAACCCGCCAAAATTGCGAATAAGTTCACAAGGAAACCCATTAAGCATGGAATAATATTTAATGACAATTGTATAGCCAGCATATGAGAAGAAAAGTTTGTTCAAGAACCATTAAACGCATATAGAAAACCTATTAAAAAACAAAGCAAAAAACACTCTCACACAAAAACACTCTCATATATATAGATATTTATGTATATTTTAAATATTATGTTTCGATTTAGTCATCAAAGATTCGGTTGGGAGTTTGTGGTGTTTTTTTCGGGGGTAGGGGTAACTGAAAGTTGCATTTGAACAAATTTTTGCAACTCAACTAATAGATTAGTTCAACATTTTTTGGTTACCAAAAAAAAATACAAAACATATTTAAAGTTTAAGCCAGACGTTGGCGATGGGCGCAAAACAAGTAAAGGCAAAAATAACACATGTGATCAAAAATAAAATTAAATTACATATAATATATATATATATTATTACTATTTAATTACTATAATAATTTAATGTTTAACAAAAAGACAAAACTTACTGAGAATTCCACAATTTTTATTGCTGGTGGAAATTGCAAACCAAAAAACTCAACTTTATCGATTACAATTAGCAAATAATGAAAGCGAAAAGACACAAAAACCTAAATGTAACCGTATAGAAACAATTCTCAAAATGCTAACACCGTTAATACCCTGTAAATATTTGGATGAATACTGATCAAATTGTAATAATAATTGAGTGGAATGTATGTCAAGTTGTGAAAAGGAAAAATAACCATATTCATGTGTGTATATTGGAGGATGTCGTAAATGGCCAGCAGAAGAATACCAAAAGAAATATAAATAAATTCATAAAAATTATACAAAAATTTCCAGAGTATTGTGTGATTTTTGGGCGGGAGAAGGACCATCTGCATGTCGGCGCGAGCTTTCAGGAAATCTGTTGCTGTAAGTAAGACTCCTCAACAGCCATCAACACTTCAGACACTTTCCTCGCACAGCATTGTCTGGGGTTTGTTCTTATTGTGATGATTGCACTCGACACACTCTTTCGACAAACACTTTGGCCACACATCCTGAGTACATCCTTCGCATCCCCCGCCCAGCACTCTTATCTGTCTGCCACAGGCGGATGGTGGATGGCGGGGATGGCTTGTCAATTTGTTCGGTAAAAGTAAAAGGGATTTCCAGTTTGCTTATCGCAGCGTTTTTTTTTTTATGGTACACCCTAAACCAGAGCCAGAAACCAGAAACCAGAGAGCAGATAAAACTCCCGTGTTGGCCAATGTAATTTATGGCCAAAAAACATTTCAAACAGTGAAAAATCATGAAAATTTATCTCATTTTGTAGCAAAGGTCAAGCATTTTCACTCTGTTCCCCCCCAATCCACCATTCACCATCCACCATCCAGCAGTTACCATTCAAAACCACATGACTCAAATGCTCGTAAAACTTGCAAATATATTTCACATTTTGTTGGGCTACCAGCGCTGCGAGCGTAAAAAAAACTATGCATCAAACGAAACGAAATGTATGTTTTACATAAAATTTCAATTAAATGAAATAAAGTTTTGGGTTTTTGGGTGCGGATTCGAGATTCGTCCTTGGCAGTAGATGGCGGCAGCAGAGTGGCAGCGGAGCGGATCCGATTGGACTGCCTGGGGCTGGAACGTGCGTCCCGCTTAAATCATTTCGCTGGCAGCTGAAATGAAACTGGCAGTGGCAACAACTTTTGCTAAACATTTGTTACCAGCAAGCAGCACCAACAGCCATCACTTACCAGCTTCCACTAATAAAAGTAATAAAAATGGAGCACGACGAAATCGAAGCGATGCGAAACGAGACGAGAGCCAAGTGTAAGAGCCATGGGAACCCATTTGAAAAATCGAACTGGTTCAATGGTTGCTTTCCCACTGGGAAACATTACTGTGCAAAACTGCAGTGGAACTGAGAAAATTTGAAAGTATTAGAAAGTACGAGCATTTTTTTTGCTGCTAATGAAAATATTAATTTTTAAATTTATGCTCCCCTATGAGTTTTATCATCAATTAAGTTCTGTTCAAATTTACTATTCTTATCCAAACTTTGATAGAACATGAAAAAGCACTCAAGTTCTAGCGAAGTTACTTTGGACTTTCCGTCCCTGAAGAGCTGCAACCATTTGAAACTTTAAAATTGAAAGAGTGTCCTAGTTTTTTTTTTGTTAAACGAAAACAAAGATGGTATTTGTAATGTTTTTATATTTAATAGAATTTATAATGCTTTTCTGTTGACTTAAGCTTTTTATTCCCACTGATTTGATCAAAACAAACCACTCAAAATCCTAAAAATCCGCGTGCCAGCCCTGGCAGAGCCACAGCTAAGTGCAGAAAAAGAGAGAAAAACGCGCCAAACCTCAGCAATAATAAATAAATATAAAAAATCGAGCGAAACAAAGCAAAAGTGAAATAAAAAAATCACACTAAACATTTTCGTTTAGTTTCCAATGACGATTTGCTGGCCCACGCCGAACCCACCAACCATCCATCGTGCAGAACCACCCTAGAGCACCGACACCGCCCACCGGACAGCCACCACCTTACCACAAACATTGTTGCCGCCTTATCCACTCGGTGGTCCGTGTTCATGCTCGACTTTTGGTGCCTCTTGCGTCCCCGATCCCCGCCACTGGTCAATACCCTCCCTTTGGCCCGAGAAGTGCCACCAAAAAGGATTGCTCTACGCCATAAATTGTTGTATTTTATTGTCCAATTTCTTTTTATTATTTTTCTGCGTTTTCTTTTTGTTTTTGTTTCTTCTGCCTTCCATTTTCTTCACAGTTTTTTCTGCGCTGTGTTGCTTATGCTTCATCTAGTGTTTCGCTTCTTTTTTTTTTGGGGGCACTTTGGGCCACATGCTGGTCTGTCCCAGGCAACTGTAGTCTAACCCGGGTCCAACTTGGCCGTCATTCTCATTGTCGTTTTGTTGGGAAATTGTTTTTTAAAAATAAAATATAAGCACACACGCGCTAAAAAACACACACACACACACACATAGACTAGCTACATATAGGAGATTTTTCTTGAATTATTAAATGGACACAAGAACGAACACAACAATGGGTCTGAGATGAGAGTGACCATGGAAGCTTTCCGTTCCATTCCGTTCCTTTCCGTTCCATTACTTTGCTTTTGTTGGGTTGTCCGTTAAACAATTAAGAAATTCCTGAAATATTCAGAATGACAGTGCACAACAACTCAACTCTTCTTGGCTTTGCCCCCAGAGAGAGATGGGCGTTGGGCTGGGTAACGTCCCAGCAGCAGGTGAAACTGTCTTCTTTCCATTGGAAACTGTGACCATGTAGGAGAGAGCAGAAAACAAAGGAAAACCAAAATGAAAATCACACAAATCGAATGGAATTCGAGTGTGCGTTACAGAGAGAGAAATGGAAATCCAGAGTAAGAGAGAGAGAGAGCAGCATAAGCAGTTTTCATTTTCGGCCAACAATGCGTATGCGTAACGCGGCCAACATTTTAATGAGCGTTTGCATAACAAATGCGGTTTTTCCCACCCACACTGCCGCAAACCACAATGCCGCACCACCCACTGGCGAGGCTCTGAAACTGAGTAACTGTTACATACAGTTATATTTAATGATGATGTTTATTACGCAGCACCACACTCCATCCCACATGCCACATGGCCCATACAGCACCCATGACCGACCATGGCTGACTGCTATAATGACGATGACGATGATGGGCAATGATAATGTCATGATTTTTTATCCCCCAATCGTAACCAGTGCGCAGCGGCCCATTTCAGTTTATAAGAATTGATTTTGTATTAAGTAAATTGAATAATTTATAATTCAGTCGGCAGGCATTATAAAGTCCTCTCTCCCTGCCAATCCCATGCGAGCTCTGGCCCACGTCAGCATCAGCAGCTGTGGCCCCATATGGTTGATGTGAAATTTTCATATTTCACACAATCAATCGGGCATTCTTTGCGTTAAGCCACGCCTAAGCCTCGCAGCTGTTCTTCTGTTGCCTCCTTCCCCAGCGCTGACCACTGCATGAGGCTTTTTGTTCTGCATCAAGTTATCCCTCTGCTGCCGTTGGTCCTTTTGGGATCAGTTGAAAATGTCATGGCGTACACTGAGGACAATAAATTCAAATAGAAAATGGACTGAAGGTATACCAAAAAAAAATTACAAAAATTCAGAAGTAAAATCTAAGCCCAAAAAATAAAGATGGTATTATAAACACATTTCTCCCAGTGCTCCCAGTCGCATTTCCTCCCTGTCACTGGCTGTAAATTGAGAAGAGTTTTTAGCCTTTCTAGTGCCTGCCCCTAAGCCAACATATGATGCTGACAGCCGCAAGGCAATTAATGCTTAGCACCACAAATCCTTCTGCCGCAGCATCGTAAAATATCGTAGAAAGTTTTTCAAGACCCTTATGGTGGGATTGTAAGCGGTTTCTGAGATGGGTTCTACGCCGGAATGAATCCAATTATGTGCTTAATCACTAAGATGCTCCAGACACACCCAGGAAAGCGAGAGAGAGAGATAGAGTTAGAGTTAGAGAGGAGGAGAATCAGTTGAAAAACGAACTCTCGTTGACAACGCGGATGATGTGACGACACTGGCGACGTGTTGTCAAAGTGACAAGTGCCCACACCACACCACACCACACTCACTCGCTCATTCAAACACTCACACACACACACACTCTGAACCAGTAGCAGTCCTCAGGGCGAGCCGCATGTGCGTAGCGTAACGTGGCTCATTCCTTCCAGGCACTTGCCTCAACATGTGGCATGGCTTAAGGCGCACGGCCGGTCGGCCTGAGCCTTTAAGCATTAAATACTTTAACACACAAGCGCTGTTAAAATTTATTCATGGTCGTTTTTAATGCAGTTGGCAAGAGGCAGCAGAGGACCAGGCC